GAGAAATATTCTTCTGCGTGTTATCGACTTGTAATTCATCATTATAATCCTTTGCAACATCTTTATGTACTTCAGTTACATTTTTACCGTTAATGATACTTTGATCTAACGTAGATCTTCCCTGAGCATTCTTTTGTTTTGTGTTATTACCTAAGCTGCTCAAGCTTTTACTTCCACCTTTTTCCTGTGCTAATGAAATAGATGGTTGTCGTGGGATAATACTGCTTTTGATACTATCATCCGACAGATCGTTTGTAGTAACCTTTTTACCTAAAATGTCTTTTTCAATACAATCTTTAATGTTTCGTTCAGCTAAAATTGCAGATTTTCTTTTCTTTCTAGAACTCGATATTTCTGTACCTTTGTTTTCATCTTCATTTATAACATTTTTTTGTGATTTGTGAGAAATTTTATGCGAATCAGTTGATGAAGATGTGGAAAATCGTTGAGGAATCTCAGTGTTTTCCACAATATTTTTACTTGCTAATACATTTCCTTTTGTTTCTTCATTACTTTCCTCAGCTATAAATATGTTCTTATAAACATTTTTCTTTATACTCCTACTACGACGTTTTAACAATTTCGGTTTCTGTTTCATTATCTTCGGTTCTATATCGCTGCTACTATCATTTTTGCTACTACTGCATGGAGTACTATCCTCGAATGCAGTGCTCTGTGCTTTGGGTACCGGAAAGTGTGAAAAATCGGGCACGCTCCCAGAAGATAATGTATATTCGTTTGATTCTGACTGATTATCAAGGGGAGTTTGCATAATACTAGAATCTTTTCGCTCCACTGGTTTTGGAGATTTGGTAATGGAAAATTTACTTGAAGAAGGAACTTTGAATTCACTGTTTTGCAACACATCAATGAAAATATTATTTTGATTGTTATAGTCTTTTTTAAAAATTCTCGGCTTTGACTTTACAATATTATTTAAATTTGAACTCTGATTCGAACTGCTATCATGCATTTCAGCTAATTGTTCTTTATTGGTCATTTCTTTGTTTTTTGATTCAGAATTATTTATAGAACTTTTACCTCTAACCTTTTGTCCTGAACTGTTTGCAGATGTTCCTTCAGAATCATGCAAAACGTTGAAAAAAGCATTATTTTTATGTGTTCTTGCTTTTGAAAGCAAAGAAAGTTTTCTTTTTTTAATTCTAGGTTCTTCTTCTGATTCTGATGTTACTATGGTAAATTTAGCTGCACCTAATAAAATTATGATTTATATAAAATGATTTAATAAAATTAATCTCAAGTGTTGACAACTTACTTTGTTCTATATTGTTTGCATTGTCTTCTGAAGAACTGAAATTGTCGAATACTTTCCACCATTCAGCTTCTGCCTCACTTAATTCTACTTGTGAATTAGAATCTAATTGTCGACTTGTTTCACTGAACATATTGTAATCAGTCGATAGTCGTGCAATTGTATTGTTTTCCAAGTTTTTCGACCAATATGGGTATGCTGGAATACAAATAATATTAGATAACATAACCTATTTCAATCAAACAATTTAACTTCTAAGAATTATAAAACATATACGCACTGTTATCTACAACATCAGTATCAGGATTTAATACAGCAGAATCAGAATATCTGCTGCTTTTAGACGAACGTCTGTTTAAACTGCTTCGTTTAGCCATGATGTTCGCAATTCGAAACAAAGTGAGACAATGCGATCTCAAGTCTTTTAAAAAACTATTCCCGCGTAATATTTGGATTAATTTTCATGGCGTCGACAGAAGTATGTGACATATTCACTATGCTCAATTCTGTACACACATATACCGCAGTTCACCAGAGTCCATAACTGCGAAAAGACCAGTTTTCGTTCTTCGCGCATCTCCAGTACGCATCTTCGCCCTGATTGGCGATACTTCCAAACGAAGTGGAAAGCGATTAGCACAGAGCTCGCTGCGTTCCCCCACCATCTTCCAACCTGCGCGTCGCAGTTATGGACTCTGACGAACTGTGGTATATATGATATACTCGATTTTCTCGAAAATGAAAAAATTTTATTCCATATTTTGTTCTTATTTTTTTTATAAGAAACCACCTCGTTCCCGCTTGTACATGTTATTCGGCTGCGCCCCGTATATTACTCTGAAAGTAAATTTTGTCTTGCAAAGGGCAAAATAATCACTTACGACGTTACTGATAAAAAAACTTGTAAGCGATAAAATCTTAATTGACTGTATATATATTAAAATGGCACTTGTATTGGAACACAGTTGAATTTAAATTTTACACTTTGGAACTGTCGTCTTGACGCATTACAGTTTGGACTTCGCTGTGGTACTTAGCTTGTTATAATAAATTTGAAAGATGTCTTTTGTAACAAAAGGTATGCAAAATTCTATATATTTACTGTATGAAAATAAAAGTGACTTGCTTAATTTCTAGTATTCCTTTTACTATAGTGAACATGTTACTATTTGTAATGAATAAATATAAATCATTTGTTAATCTTCGAATTTCGAATTATGGTATAGAAAAATGTAAAATATATAGTCATTATTATAATAATGATACCTAATATTAATAAATTACACTGATTGTGAAACAAAACCATAGTATATTGGTAAGTGATAAGTGCAAATGTTGAGAAATCCTGTTGTTTCAAGGTTCACTTGTTTTTTTTTAAATTGATTATTTCACTTGTCATAATATATTCTTGCAAGTTCACTTTGTGGCCTTTAGACCCAAGTTTAAAGTTTATACATACTCAAGCAATATGAAATTAAAAAAAAAATTAAATTGTAAATGTTAGTTTGAATAATAAATAATGTAAAAGACTCAAGAATTCATTAGTATTGAGTTTTTTTATTTTTTTAAATAAGCATGCTTATTTTTATGTATTCAAACAGTTAAATAATTAGAGTATTACTTATTTATATAAATAAGATAAAAATAAAAGAATGTTAAAATGATACTTACATCTTGCAGGTATTTTTATTGTTGCTGCAAAGCGTACTCCATTTGGCACAATGGGTGGTGTATTCACTAATAAAAGTGCAACTGATTTAGCAGTTGTTGCCACAACTTCTGCTTTGCAGTCTGCAGGATTGAAGCCTGAAAAAGTAGATAATATTATTTTTGGTCATGTTTTAGCTGTATGTATTTTATTAATATTCCTATCATAAATGAATTAAAAATTATAAAATATTTCTTGTATTTAAACATCTATAATTGTCATTTTAAAGTTGTCAGCATCTGATGGAGGCTTCCTAGCCCGTCATGTTGCATTAAAATCTGGAATTCCAATAGAAAAACCAGCCTGTTCAATAAATAGATTATGTGGCTCAGGATTTCAATCAATAGCTAGTGGTGCACAGGTATTGACAATTTGTTGATAATAAATATTAAGTACACAATAAGCAAGGTAATTGAAGTATTTACAATTTTTAGAGTATTATGACTGGAGAATCTAAAATAGTTTTAGCAGGAGGTGCAGAAAATATGAGTCAATCTCCTTTTGTTGTAAGAAATATCCGTTTTGGTACAACTTTAGGACAAAAATATGAATTTGAGGATTCTTTATGGCTTGGATTACTAGATACTTATTGCAATTTACCTATGGGTATGACTGCAGAAAAGCTTGGATCTCAATATGGTATAAAAAGGCAAGAGGTAGATGAATTTGCTTTAAGGAGTCAACAACTATGGAAAGCTGGTACATACCTGTTGTAACAATTTATATTCTGTATGTTTTCTTGAATGAATAGGAATGTTATAAATGAGTGTTCATTTTTTCAGGTAATGATGCCGGTCATTTCAAAGAGGAATTGGCACCTATAGCAGTGACTGTGAAAAGACAAGAGGTAGTTGTTACTACAGATGAACATCCTCGTCCTCAAACAACTACACAGAGTTTAGCTAAATTACCTCCTGTTTTTAAAAAAGATGGTTTGGTTACAGCAGGATCTGCATCTGTATGTTAATTTGTATTTTTTAAAGTTAATGTTTAGATTGGATTTAAAGTTTCTTTATATTGCTTTATATGATTTTATCTTGTAGGGTATTTGTGATGGTGCAGGAGCTGTTATTTTAGCTAGTGAAGAAACAGTTAAAACTGAAGGTCTTAAACCATTGGCACGTTTAGTAGGTTGCTGTGTTGTGGGTGTAGAACCCAGTATTATGGGAATTGGTCCGGCTCCAGCTATCAAACAGCTTCTTAAAACTACAAATAAAACAATGAACGATATCGAACTTGTTGAAGTAATAAGAATACTTGATTTATTTATTTTTCTATTAAACATCTAGTCAATCATACCTTTCATGTTATTAGATTAATGAAGCATTTGGAGCTCAAACATTAGCATGTGCTAAGGAATTAGATTTGGATATCAATAAATTAAACGTAAATGGTGGAGCTATTGCTGTTGGACATCCATTAGCCGCATCTGGCAGTAGAATTACTGCGCACTTGGTACATGAATTGAGGTATGCTATGAATTAAAAAAAAAATTTAAGATTACTATACATGAATTGTAATATTAAATAAAATAATACGTTACCTTTATAGAAGACGTAATAGCGGAAAGTTTGGAATTGGTTCTGCCTGCATTGGTGGAGGTCAAGGAATAGCAATAATGGTGGAAGCCCTTTAATGTATGCGATTGTAAAGTCATGGTGCAAGATATGAATTCTACATACATATACTTAAAGTCAATGGATGTCGAAAGATATATGAATTACGAAATGTGTTCACTATTATATTTTTTATATATTGCATACAAGGTGAAGAGAACAATATGAAAAAGTTATATATCTATATTTGTACGTTGTGTTCACTATTATATTTTTTATATATTGCATACAAGGTGAAGAGAACAATATGAAAAAGTTATATATCTATATTTGTACGTTATAGACTTTTATTATACTGCATACAATATTTTTATATTATCAAGAATATAATACCTTTATTGAAATTTATATAAGCATGTTTTTAATACTATTTTAAAACAAACCTTCTATAATCAATATCTCTTCAATTATTTGTAGAACTTTGTAAAACAGTAAAAATGGAATAGGACATTCGCAAAATCTGAAAAATCGTAATAATAAGTTTTATAAACATTCCAGGTGTTACAAATATGTATACATACTCGAACAAAAGTTTGTAAAGAGAGTTCCATGATATTGCCTGCAGTTAGGATAAGAGGCTGTTGAACTCTTACCATTATGATGCATATGGCTTGCTTAAAATCCTTACTGTTGTCCCACCAATTATTTGAATAAGCAGATAATGTTACATTCATACTCTGTAAATGTGATTCTTAAACAAATTTCGTTGTTTTCCATTATAAAAGATAATTGAAAACAATTACATACATGAAGATAAAGTTCATTTCCGTGCCAGCAATATATGAAGATCTGGTATGTCATGCAACACATGTACATTAACATACCACATAAAACATATGGAATATAATCATTCATCTGTAAATGTGATAAGTTTAAAACATAATTGTATGCATCCAAAAAAATGATAATTAACGTGTAAAGTATACCTGCGCTATATTAAATGCTATTAAACAGATAATAATACAATTGACTAAAAATTGAAGGAATATCACAGTACCGAATATGTTTTGGATTTGTTTCGAGAAACTGGAAATATTTAATAATTTGACTATAAAAACGATAAAAATCATCGAAATTCTTATTTTTAATTTGAAGACTTACTCAAATATCACGTTACTATGCTCGACGGATAACTTCAAATCTTTATACAATTTATTACAAGTTTTTGGAGCAGATATTGTGAGATCGATATTATCATTTTTGACAAATGATTTTGTATTTTCTACACAGTACATTGAAGAAATATTAGAACTTAAGATTGCTAATTGGCAACAAGCAACTGTGATTAAACCTGTTATTAAAGTATCAATTGCTACGTTATTAATGCAGCAAAGAAAGATAGCTACAGCTTGATACGAGGAAGTAATTTCAAAGGCTGGTGTAGATGTTGTATTATAAGGATACCATCCTTCCATTGCCAGTTCCTTAGATCTTTGAGTAAGTATATTTAAAACCGGGGTAACACCCCAAGAAATCACTGCCATTAAACCGAAGCTCTGATAAGCGATATGATGAAAAATTCCTTGCCAAGTGTAATGCGTTACAATTTCTTCGTATTTATCATTGTCTTGACTAAATATTTTACTTCGCGTTATATCTGTTAGATCTTTGATACGGTTGTGGCGGCAAATAATAATTATCACCTATATAGAAATGTAACAAGTGCCTAATAAACTGAAATATCAACATTAAAAACAATTATTTTACATAAATCATTGAATAATAGACAAAAAATAAACGTGTGCGATGGCCGGGAATCGAACCCGGATCAACTGCTTGGAAGGCAACTATGCTAACCATTACACCACCATCGCACGGTGATATATAAGTCATTTCATATGTTGAAATAATAATATATTAAAATACATATTTTCTAACTATACGAACCTTGTAAGCATGAGTAATATTTGTCATGAGAAGAGTAGCACCAGCTACTATTTTATCCATGCTTCTTCGGTTCACGATAATATACGCGATTTCACTCGCAAGGAAAATTCCCAATAAAAATGTAAAACTAAAAACCGTGTATAACATGTACAAGCGTTTGTACCTCGACTGCGAGGGCCACATGCCCATATAATAAATAATCGACAAGCTATTTTCCAAATGTTTATTAGGTCTAATTTTTGTTCGTCTTTCCGCAACTTCATCCATCCTTCGATCTTCAAAGTGCATCAACGGAGTAACAGACCAAGTAATATCAAGGATAGTACCTGTTCCCTTATCTCCATTACATTATAGAGTTGCAACGTTTTAATTAAGAAATCTTAATGATTACAGACCAATATTGCGTTGGTCTGTAATAATATGATCTATTATCTAGTAGTTGCATTCGATTGTATGTTACTCGGATGTAACAGGTTTGTCCTATTGTAATTACCCATGATTACAGGGAGGTGCATACATCATTGTTAATGTTTAAAAGCAAATCGATACACGATTAGGCATCTCTGATGTATGTACCTACAATACTCCTGTAAGGCGATATTCAGATATACTTGAAGAGATACAGAAAGTACTGCGCATATACATGGTGTCTCAGAAAGAGTGTTAGTCCTTTAAGGTGGTGGTAGCTGAGGTGATTCTGAACAACATTTTCCTTTGTGAAAATGTTTTTTGAAGCTTCGTTTTTGAATTATTAAGAAAAAACACTGGCCAATCAAAGCGGGCTCAGGGACGGCAGCCTCGACTATTTTACCAGGAATCCCGTGGTGGGGAAACAACTCGTTTATCAGTCCCTCTCCTTGGAAATTAGAAGTCTTTTAATACTTGTCAGACTACACGCACGTAAATATATATTATACATCGCTGCCCATTTATCATCATACTCCAACTCAAACAGACTATGTGTATCTACATACGTAATACTTACGTATGCGTTGATAAAGTTCTTTCGATAATTATAAACATTAAGATATAAAGAGACAATCTAGTAGATCGATCAATTATATTGGTAACTCGAAGTAAGTTGCTTCAGTTACAAGTACACCCGTGATTTGTTATTCACAACGTTAAATAGAATTACCGAGACGAAATGGCAGCTACTGCGGTTCTGACCAAAGATGTGCCCGATATCGAAGTAAGTAATACAAATAATTTTGATGCTTATCTGTAACATATTTTAATTGAACAATTATATTTTATATTTTCCGTAGAATCTTTTGAGCCTAAATCCAAAGATAAAACCATTCGCGAACCTTGTTCCTTCGGTGCGTACCAAAGAAAATAAGAAGAAATGGAAGAGGAACATTAACGAAAAATGCAGCGTAAGACATATCTTATCGCATGATATTCAATTATTTTTAAAATTTTTCTTCAAGAAAAAAAAACCTTGGAAAGAAAATAAATTTTTAAAATCATCTTACAGAAATGCCCACCTTTAACAAAGAATTTCGACGATATTAAACATACAACATTAAGTGAACGCGGTGCATTGAAAGAAGCTGCCCGATGTTTAAAATGCACGGATGCGCCGTGTCAGAAATCGTGTCCAACCCAGCTGGACATCAAGTCCTTCATCACTTCTATTTCAAATAAAAATTATTACGGAGCAGCGAAAGCAATTCTGTCGGATAATCCTCTTGGTCTGACTTGCGGCATGGTATGTCCAACCAGTGACCTTTGCGTAGGTGGATGTAATTTGCACGCGTCTGAAGAAGGACCGATCAACATCGGAGGTCTTCAACAATTCGCTACCGATGTAAAAAGATCTATTTTATCAACGTTTCATACGCTATCTATGACGAACAATTAAAATTCTTATTTATTTTAGATCTTTAAACGGATGAATATACCTCAAACTAGGATTCCTGGTCAAAGCGTTCCACACGCAGATACTAAGATTGCTTTGATCGGTTGTGGTCCAGCTTCTTTATCCTGTGCAACATTCCTCGCACGTTTGGGTTACGATGATATTACGATTTTCGAGAAAGAGAATCGTATAGGTGGCTTGAGCTCATCGGAAATTCCTCAGTACCGATTACCGTACGATGTTGTTAATTTTGAGATAGAACTAGCGAAAGATCTGGGAGTGAAGATCGAAATGGGCAGAGCTTTATCTGAAAACGATTTGACGATACAGGTTTGTTAGATGACTCGATTTGATGAAATGAAGCAAACCGTTTAGAGTCTATACGATGATCTTTCTTTCAGGGTCTTCAAAATACCGAATACAAAGCGATCTTTTTAGGGTTAGGTCTTCCGGAAGCAAAGACTATTCCAATTTTCTCGGGTCTCACTGAAGAAATCGGTTTCTTCACGTCGAAGAGCTTTTTACCGAAAGTAGCCACGGCTAGTAAACCAGGAATGTGTGTATGTAAAAGTAACGAGTTACCATCTCTTCATGGGAATGTCGTTGTCCTCGGTGCCGGAGATACAGCCTTCGACTGTGCTACATCGGCTCTCAGATGCGGCGCGAAGAAAGTTTTCGTCGTTTTCAGGAAAGGATTCACTAACATCCGAGCAGTTCCTGAAGAAGTAATGATTATTATACAAAACAAGATTTCACGTTCTTCGTTATAAATATTCTTACATTCCCTCAATTATGTTCTTTTATGCATTTAGTTCGATTTGGCAAGGGAAGAAAAATGCGAGTTCCTTCCTTTCCAATCACCGAAACAAGTTATCGTACGAAATGGAAAAATAGTTGGGATAGAATTTTGTCGAACCGAAGAAAACGAGAATGGTGACTGGGTGGAGGACGAAGAACAAGTTTGCAAGTTGAAAGCGAACTTTGTTATATCTGCTTTTGGATCAGGATTACAAGATCCCAGTGGTAAGAACTTCAGTCACGTTGAATTTTTATTTTGCAGAAGAATCTAAATTAAAAGAAACTTCATCTTCAAGTGGTTAAAGCCATGGCGCCTGTTAAGCTAAATAGATGGAATTTACCGGAAGTAGACGGGGAGACCTTGAGTACTTCTGTGCCTGGAGTGTTTTGCGGCGGAGACCTTGCTGGGGTTGCGAACACTACTGTTGAATCTGTAAACGATGGAAAGACAGCAGCCTGGTATATTCACAAATTTATTCAGGTAATTCATCCAATGATTCATTTCAATATTTTTCGTTTGATTATATATGTGTGTGTGAAATCTTTTTAATTATTGTTCCACAGAATTCTCATAACTTAAAAGTGCCAGAAGTTCCCCAGTTACCTAAATTTCACACTCCAATTGACGATGTTGATTTATCCGTGAAAATTTGCGGTTTAAAATTTGAAAATCCTTTCGGTCTTGCTTCTGCACCGCCGTGCACCTCTAGCGCTATGATCAGGAGAGCTTTTGAAGCGGGTTGGAGCTTTGCTGTTACTAAAACATTTTCTCTGGATAAAGTATGTGATTCTTAAATGAGCCAATCGTTAAATATATTTAAGGAACAACAACCTATATTAGTGGTATTCTAGGATCTTGTCACTAATGTATCACCAAGGATCGTTAAAGGTACGACTTCACGGCACCATTACGGACCAGAGCAAGGGAGTTTCTTGAATATCGAATTGATATCTGAAAAGTCACAAGCGTATTGGTGCAATAGTGTTACAGAATTGAAGAAAGACTTTCCAACTAAGGTTTGAAGATAATATGTATTTGATGTTACAGGTTTTTGGTTTAGCATTAATATTGAAAGAAAAATACCTTGATTGATTGATAGATTGTTATCGCTAGTATTATGTGCACGTACAATAAAGCAGATTGGACAGAACTTGCTCAAAAAGCAGAAACTGCCGGTGCCGATGCCTTGGAATTGAATTTGTCCTGTCCTCATGGAATGGGAGAATCTGGAATGGGACTGGCTTGTGGACAAGTATGTCTTCTATAACTGCTTCATACTTCCTTAAAATTTTATCAAGAAACATAATTATTATTACCTTAAAGGACCCTGAATTAGTGAGAAATATTTCAAGATGGGTCAGAGCAGCTGTGAAGATACCATTTTTTGTGAAATTAACACCTAATATTACCGACATTGTTTCTATAGCCAAGGCAGCTTACGAAGGTACCTTTTTCATAGATTTTTGGGTAATTAAACTATACAGTTTTAATCAATATTCAAACGGATAACTGTTTGTAACAGGACACGCTGACGGAGTATCTGCCATAAACACGGTGCAAGGATTAATGGGATTGCACGGTGATGCAACACCATGGCCAGCTGTTGGCTATAAGAAAGCTACAACTTATGGCGGCATGTCAGGAAATGCGACGAGACCTCAAGCTTTACGAGCAATTTCTTCTATTGCTGAAGCGCTTCCTGGTTTTCCGATACTGGGAATTGGTGGTGTCGATTCAGCAGATGTTGCTCTTCAATTTTTGCATAGCGGTGCATCAGTTGTGCAGGTGATTTGATTAGCTGTTTAATCGGGTCCAAGCTTCTAACATATACATTACTTGTATTAAATTATTATTTCATAACATGTAGATCTGCAGTGCGATACAGAATCAAGATTTTACTCTGATCGATGATTATATAACTGGTTTAAAAGCTCTACTGTATCTGAAGAGTCTTAAACAAGTAGAAGATTGGGATGGACAAAGTCCTCCAACGTTTAAACATCAGAAAGGGAAACCAGTTGCTTTCCAACATGCTCTTGGTAAAGTATGTAAAATAAACAGACTTTCCTGATAATTTGAAGGTGATGTATGACATTATGATCAACGTGTGTTTCAGAATGTACCATATTTTGGAGAGTATCAGAAACTTCGGGAAGAAAAGATAGCCGAGATTAAAGCGAGATCGAATCCGCTTGATAATGTCATTGAGATAACGAGACCTGCCCCAAAACCAAGCATACCTGTACCAGCAATAAAAGATATTATTGGTAAAGCTACGGAATACATTGGAGCCTTCAAGAATTTGAACACCAAAGAGCAAGTGGTAGCACTGATAGATGATGTATGTTTCAAGTATCATCATTGTTACTTTCATCATTGTGTTAATGTACATTATTTAAATGTTCTAGGACATGTGTATAAACTGTGGAAAATGTTACATGGCTTGTGCTGATTCTGGTTATCAAGCAATTAAGTTTGATTCTGAAACTCACATTCCAACTGTGACTGATGATTGTACAGGTTGCACACTTTGTCTTTCAGTGTGTCCTATCATAGATTGTATAACGTAAGTCTTTGTTTTTTTGAATTATGATTCCTTTTATCTTATCTCAAACAATTGAACATTATTATTTCAGCATGGTACCTAAAACGATACCCCACGTTATTAAAAGAGGAATACCACCAAAAGGAATGTTTGAACTTCCTGAATTATCAGAAGCATACTAAAGTAGAAGTAACGTATACGGTATTTTATTTCGTTTCAACATTTTTGTACCATGTATTTTGTAGAAAGTAAACACTGTCGAAGCTTAAATATTTTGTTATTAAAATTATTTTATTTTACATATTAGTAAACTTTGGACTGTCACACCATTCCAATGTCTCTGGTTGAGTATAATTATTAGTATATTTATCACACTTATTGTTTAGTAAACTGAGCCTGTAAATATAATAATGAATAAACAACAGTTTGAAACGAAATCTTTTATATAAATTTTAAGCGATTCTTATGGAATATGTTACCATGGATATTTTGTACAATCATCAACGGGTAAATATTTTTTGAAACACTGAGGCTTTAAAATGTTGAAATACGTAGCTCCAATTTTAAATGCTACAATATTATTAGCGTCCTTCAAACATCGGTAGAAGGCGTCGTCACAGTCGCATGGTGATCTGTTTGTGGAATAGTCATGAATGTTATTTTTTTTTAAACACAAGGGAGTTCAAATCACTTTTTGAAAGTATCATGTTTCTTTTATAATTACCTCGTGAATATACCATTATTTAAAAGTCCATCTCGTATTCCTTCTGCTGGAATACCGTCTGGACAAGAATCGTGAGCCTTGCAGCAAGCGTCTGCTGATTCAAAGAAACCGAGATCCTCTTTATTCGGTGATATATCGCCATCGCCGCACCAATATGTTCCTACAATCAATACTTGGTTATTCCATACTCCAAAATATTAATTAATTACATACCTGGAAAAATTGCTTTAATTTTTGATTTAATTGGATTTAAAATACTACTGATCATTGTTTCGTTTTTCTCTCTGGGTTTCCTTTTTAATAATGGTATCTTAAACACTACTTCTTTAAACTCTTCTTTAATATTTGTAAATTTTTCACGGATCGTTCGTCCAGACCTCATAAATAATCGAATTGATTTTTCAATTGGACTGACATACGTTTCTTTTAACGTTTCGTTATTAGTATTATCACATTTTCCAAATCCGACAATTAGAAGAAATAAGATAAATAACAGAAAGATGCGAAAGGAAGACATTGTAATACCACTATACATAAAATACGATGATCAGCATTGAGATGTTGATATTTATATGGCGTAATCTGTTTTTAGATCTTTTTAAAGGCAAAGGTCTTAGATGATAACACGCATTTGGAAAATCCAATTTAGTTACTTGAAAAAAATTGCAACCCTATGATTTACGTCATTATATGTACAAGATATTATTTTATTATGTAAAATTTCTAATTTACCTTATTACAAAACACTTGCATACGAGTAATATGTACAGTTCAGAATGTATAATGAACTCGCGGAATAAGCACGAAGAACGTAAGATTGTCAGCGACTGAAAGGATGAATATAATACAAAATTATGTAGTGTTTATGTTGTATCGCTCAACGATTCACTGGTATTCAGCCCGTCCTCTGTAACACTGTCATCTGTATGGAAATTTTGTTGATGTTGTAAGGCGCGTCGCTTTTGAAGCCTTGTACATCGTGGGCAACAGTCATTTAGTTTCGACCAACAAGCTCGATGATAAACAGCTGAGCATTGATGGCAAGTTATGGAACTTACGTCCCATGGATATATAATTTCATCGTTACCACACAATTCACATAAATGACCCCTATAAATGCGATAAAAAATTTAGTTATTGACCGAGCTGCAAAATAATCTGGAGTGCTCTGATTTTTTAAAAATTTACCTTGCTTTGCACAATTCGCATTGTTCTGTAATGTGAGCGTGCATAACATCGTACGCAGCACGTATTTCTTCCAGAAGTGTTCCATTATTCAAATCAACGAGATCTTTAATCGAATAATTACCCGAGTTTTCAATCATGTGAGTACGTATTCCAACTTTCCACGGTAGCCCTTGGTTACTAGCTTCCGGGCATAGAACCAAATAGCGTTTCATCATTTGTATTTCCTCCCGCATTTTCTGTTCGTTATTAATTCCGAATTCGTAATTTAGTTCCATTCTTTAATCACAAATTACAACATATATTTTACCTTTACTAAAGATAAATCTGGGACTAAGGTAAATAATTTCGGATTCAATTCCTCTAGTACTAAAACAGAACGTTCTTCTAAAAGTGTTAAAAGTTGTGCGGCTGCTCGAGATACAAGTCGCGGTTCCATGTCCCAGTTTCTAATTACTCTTGCAGGTATTACCATTGCGGTATTCCAATGGCACCTTTGACAGTAATACAATCCACTGTAGTCACAAAGACGTGGTTCAATCCATGCTGATTCTGTATTTACAAATAATGTATTAAAAATATGAATATCCAACATTAATTTTTTATTTTATATGTATATTCTGTATAGCTTATTTCTACCCCATGTATGTTACCTGTATTCTTGAAAGGACTGCCAAAACAAGATAAAGATAATCCTTTTGAGAAAGCTTGTAATAAAAATATAAATCACCCATATGATAATAATATATATCATAAACTGATAAACTAGTATGTTAATCATTGCCAAACAATGGAGTTATTAATGATTATACTTACTGAATGTTATTCGAACTTTGCATTCAGCACATCTATATCCTTGACCTGATAAGCCTTGCTCAGGACAAATATCTTTTGTATGAGTATAACCACCTGCTTCACTAGCAACTACATGAACGCATACTCTACATATGTTGTTTAAACATTTCCAATGGCAACAGAACTTGCAATCTGAAAAGAAATGTTTAAGTATTATAAAAATTCATAGAAAAATAATAAAGTGTAACAAAAAGAATCTCACCACTACACATATACCATGACTGAAGCATAGCCCAAATAGCTCCACTACAATGATCACAATATACAGTTCCAGAAGTTGTAATATAATATTTTTGTGGTACTAGGTGATGTCCAAGAATTACTTGTGTTTCTAATAAGTTTTCTTCTGAAGTTTCTCTTAATTCTTGCACTCTTAAACGTAATTCAATTAAACGTCTAACTAGCCATTTTCTTTCAGCAGAGCATTCTGCGCTTTCTAATACCATTTGTTTACATTTTTGTACCATCTCCTTCAGATCCTCTTCGCATGTACTCTTGAAAGTAAGACATAATAAGATACAAATAACAAATAAATATTATTGCAAAAAGAAAACTGATCGTATACCTTAGATAATGAAAGTGCAGTTTCCACTGACTTTAAACTAAATGGTATGGCAGCTTTGCTATCTGAACTGTCATCTGCCTCCCCTGTCATATAATCAGATGATGAAGAAGGTGTTGATGGCATAGTTCCACAACTATCAGTTCTCATCCTTGACTCATCATTAGAATCCTGTGCTTCATTTACATTATTTTTCAAGTCTACCATTTTGATTACGTGGTTTCAATGAATAATTTCTAATATCACTTTTGTATACTTGTCACACTATCCTTAAATATTCCAAGAATACAAAATTTGTTACATTTGGAATGACTAAATGTCAGATAAAAACAGATATTGCACATTGAGCTAGTGCTTGTATAAAATAAAACTGTATACAAATTTATATTTTGATTAGGCACAAATTATTATTCAACAAAATGATTAACGTGATACAAGCGTCGAGGCAGTCGAGGCTGAACTCCGAATTTCGCATCGGTAAAACAGGCCATTTAAGCGCCACCTGAATTATTGCATCCAACTAACGGCATACTATACTACGTTACAGTTGAAACTGTTCCATCGTTGATTTTCGAAAAAATATTATTTCAAGAATGACAAGATCTTCCTTATATAAGCGTTTACAGTAAAGTAATAAAAATGAGCAATTTTACGTCTCCGATGCGGTGTATTTCTCCTAATGCAAGGTAATTGCTTTTGAAAAATGAAAATAAATCAAACTGAGGTTAGAAACCTGTTCACTTATATACACGTGTTTATTTCTATCATTAATTAATCTTAATTGTAGAGTTTTGGCTGCCAAACCTCAAGTGGAACAAACGCTGGACATAAAACAGTCCCAGAGTAAAGCGAGAAACAGTATTACATGGTTTTTCGTTAATACCTCTTTGCTTGGAATTCTAATCTTTGACATGTAAAACATCAATTACCTACCGGTTTTATCAACATTCAACAGGATATACATATTTCAATCATTATCTTTCAGATTATATGGGGGTGCAGCATATAAACCATTTTGTTGGGCTGAATGGTGTTTGGCTTCGATATTTGCGCTAAATGCTCTTTACCATATAACCCAATACGCGTGGGCGGGTTTCACTGTGCGACCGATTTCCTTAAGTCCGAAACAAAGACGTTTATTAGGAGTGTCCGAGGATGATCCCCTTTTTAAGGACCAACTTTCGTCGCCGCAGAAAACATCGGAGTCACCGTTTCCATCAAATTTATCGTGTATAAGTCTCAATAGACGGATGGCTTCTTTGGGCTCCCCGGGATTAAGCGAATCTAGTACGACCAATTCATTCTTTCCATTCCGATAGGGTAGATAAATATATGTACACTGTATGTAAACGTATGTTTTAAGAGGACTTTTCATCGTCTAGTCAATTCTTCAAGTATGGCAGTCCAGCGTCGCAAAAGTCTGCATCTAGCCCTAACGGATCATTCAACAAATCTCTCAACGTTTCACCAAACGGAAGCTTAACCGGCGAAGATTTGATTCAGAGCGAAAGGGAACTGCAAAATTATTTAGATGAAACTCATCAAAGGAAGCATGTTCTAGCAACAGACATAGATCAACCTTCTAATTTACTTAGCTCGTTCTGGTCACATCCAGCAATCAGAAACCCTGGGGAAGTTTCTCCGTTATTAAGAAGATGTGCATATCAATTAGCGCCTATCATTGGTAAGATTGTAACTATTTTTCTTATTAAAAAGAAAAAGAAATTGCAGGACATTATGATATTGGTTTTCCTCCATAGATAAATCAAAGTCAACTAGTCCTGGTACCGAAGAAGGAAATTCACCTAGAGGTATATTCGGTGCACCGGATGTTTGGAGAAAATACAGAATTGATCCAAACAAAGCAAACGAATGGACAGCTAATCTCCGTATGGCAAGTAAAACGGAAATAAGTGAACATTGCTGTAGATTGACGACAATTTTAATTATGAATTCTATGATTTCAGTGGATCAGTAAAACAGTCGTTGAACGAGTAGCGAATGAAATCGATAACGTCTGTGCGGCTCTGGTTCGTCATGGATTGAGCGATTCTCAACCAGGTACCGTTGGACTGGACAGACTAAGGAAACTAGCCCAAGCACCGTTTTTGGTCTCAGCTATTCCTACCTTACCAACTTTGGTGCCTTTTTTGGAACTTTCTAACAATCAAGAGTATCTTGTCAAAAGGATCAAAACACTCGCGAATGGAGGTTCTATGAGCGAATTTAAGTGGAATGGCGGAGGGTCGTATAATGGGAAAGAATGGGATTCTAGTTTACCTACCGATTCAGCGGTGATTAAATAATCTTTTAACCCTTTCATAAAATCTTCTCGAAAGAAGAATTGATTCAATGTGTACTTTCATTGCTTTTATAGATAATTATGCATTTAGTATCAACGTATATGGACACGCAACTGGAAGCTCCTCTAGATCAACCAGATGCACGACCCTTTACGTCAAGATACATGGCCAAAGCTGGCATGACGTTACCACGTAGTAAGGGACCCATAATAGTGTGCCAATCTATAAATCCACCGCATTATAGTTTAGCACCTTCCGGAGATGCGTCCCCGAGCGATTACGAAGAAATACAACGCGTAAGTAAATTAAATCAGGGGTGGGCAAAGAGTGGCCGCCTTGAATTGAGATTTTTTTCTCATGCCCGACCGAAGATTCGTTTCGTATTTATAAAGTATAATTTATACCTTTCTGAAATACAAAGTTAACTAATGAATGGAATCATTTTAAAAGGTGCGGCCCTCCGCTTCCACAAAGTGGCCCTTGAGCCAAAACAGTTGCCCACTCCTGAATTAAATGAACTTTACAAAATGAAATCTGAACATTTGAAATTAATTATTTCTTTTTTCTTTCTCTTCTCATTTTTAGGGTAGAAACAACTTGTTTCATACGCTCCTGTTGTTTCTGTACATAGTTAAGACGAGAGATAATGGTATGTTGGGTCGGGTTAGTTTAGGTACGTCGGGTATAAATGTTCTATGGGTAATTGATGGTTGAATATTGCAAAGACGCGGTAATGCCTGACAGCATTAATTGAAAATTATTTTTTTAACTATACGCGTTCAATTATTTTGTACAGAATCTTGTAATAATGATTAAAATTGTAAGTATTGTAACAGCGATAGTATGTCTGTTAATCAGAACGTGGAAAAACAGAATATTGTTTAATCATTTTGACACTACGAACGTTTTATTCACAGTACTTACGTCTATGTACAAATAAACCGTAAATCACGATCCGTATCGATCGAAATTGTCATCAACTGAGACGCTGTAATACAGCGTACAATTGCTCTTCTTATTTTGCGCTTTACAAACCTTAAAGTGTACTTATTTAATGTGCACACGTACACGAAACATAACAAGAACCGCAGAATGCTCCGCAGAATTTCATTAAAATGGAACGAACCGATTCGAATAAATGCGTGAACCTAAAGGATCGCAAAAATATCTGCATTCCTATTCCTCACACTGTAAGAAGGAATGCATTTATTTCCACCGTTATTACTAATGCAATATAATTTTTATACAATTTTATATTTCCCTTTTGTCACAGTTCAACGATTGAAAGGCATGTATGTTTTGTAAAAAAATTACGTTGCACTTCTCGTACAATTTATAATACAATCTTTGGATAACGGTTCTCGTACGCTTAAAAACAATCTATATATACACCACAGTCATGTGTTACGATAAAACTTATAGTAGCCTATTCAACGTACAGTCTAAGAGCAACAACGGTTCGTGTGTAAATTTCTATCTTTTTCCAATTGAAAAAATCAATCCCAAAAATTTCTCGTACAATCTGTACGTTATCGAATCGCTACATATTTTTAACGACACCAGTGGACAATGTCTTCGAAGCGAATAAGAAGTAATCGTTAACGAATATACCAGTATCGATTACTTTCAAACGACTCTACAAGATTTAACAAACTTTCAACGTTTCAAATGAGAAACCAGCAACGAAAAGGATCATATAAAAATCCTGTACAATCTTTGTATCTTTTTTTCTTCTTTTCTATTTTTTTTTTTTTTTTTTTTTCAAATATATGAAAATGCGTCTACACGTCGAGTCTACGTATGTAAATATTTTACATACATTCGCGTGTCCGTAAGTCGAGTTCAATCTATTAGAAAACAAGTAACAATGAAGGCAAGTGCCGAAATAAAATGATCAAACGTTGATGTCAATACCGAAGAATCGTTAGAACGAACAGACACGCGAAGAAAGAAGTATCAACTCCTATTCAACTTCATCCAACTCCCATAAACTTTGTAACTTTTTCTCGTAACTAAATATAGAAGAATATAAGAAAGATATACAACGTATAATACAAAATCAAACGCTCTATCGTTTCGGTTACATCGTCTCTAAATTTGTTGCTTCTTTCTTCCCTCCTTCGTACCAGTTACATAGCACGGATAAATTATTAATTTCTCATTAAATGAACGAGTTAGGTTAGGAGCAAAGTATCGATGGAAACGATAGGAAGCGAGGTAAGGGAATCTGAACGAAATGCGAAGAGCATATGAATGCGACGAAAGAAGGATGATGTCGATTTAAGTTGTAGTAAATATTTTACTTCCCTCTGGTAATATAACCTCCTCGCCAACGTCGGCGAGGGTTACTGTAAGGGGAAGAATCAAAGGCATTAGTATCTCCTGGTGTTGCATCACTTGTTGCGCAGTGATCGGTTCGGACTGCCTGGTAATAGTGATCGTCTTAATATTCTGCGCCTTCACTACTTGACACTGTCCAAGCGTAGCTTGTTGCAACACTTTTTGTTGAGTTTGAATCGACTGCGGTTGTGTGGTCAACGCCTGACCGCGATTCTGATTTTGAACGAAATTCTGTTTACACCTTTTGCTGTGAGCATAGCGACTGCCGTTGTTGTTGAAACGTCGATCACAGGTCGGACAAGCGTAAGGCCTCTGGCCGGTGTGAATGAAAACATGCTCTTTCAAGGACTTAAGACGACGGAAATTCTTCGGACAGTATTTGCAATGATACTTCGCCTCGCCTGTGTGCGAGGTCAAATGATTGGCAAGCGTATCAGCCCTGGCGAATGCCCGCGAACAGTACTGACAAATGTACGGCCGTTCCTGCGTATGCGTTCTCATGTGCATCTTCAAGTAGGCGTTCGTTGTGAACGGTCGAGAACAAACCTCGCAAACGTACGGTTTTATACCATTGTGCGCTCTGAGATGAGCGATCAACGTGGTCGATTGGGTGAAGCTTTTCGAACAGATCTCGCAAAGAAATCTCTTCGAACTATCCGTTTCTTTGTTCTTCTTGAACGTTCGATCGTGCTTCGACAAATGATTAGTCAATTGTTCCTCTTTAATGAAACGCTTGGTGCAACGCGTGCATTTGTACGGTTTGATCATGTTATGCTTGGCTACGTGTATCTTCAAATGTTCCCTTCTGTAGAACTTTTTCGGGCATATGTCGCAGAGGTATTTCTTCCCCTCGTGAACTTGAATGTGACGCAACAATCCTTTCCTCGATGTGTACTGTTTGTTACATTCCGTGCATTCCAGACCGACGATATCGGTTCTTCTCTTCCGGCCGATCTTCTCACCCGGCTTTTTCTCCTCCGGTCGCGGTTCTATGTCTCTTAGATCCTCCTCCGTGAGGATACCTTCGGTAACGTGCTTAGATCTATGCTCCCTTAGAATTTCATTGTTCTCGAAACTGTCCCCGCAGATATTGCACTTCCTTACTTGATCGGGATTCTTCTCCGAGCATTTGTCGTAGTGAGCCTTCAGTTTATCCTTACGGTAGAATTTAACATTGCAGATGTCGCATTCGAAGTTTGGCTCCTCGTGCAACAACTGATGCCGCAGCAACGACTTTTTCGTACTGTACCGTTTCTTACATTTAGCACACTCGTGATTGTCCATCGGCCAGTCCAATCCGCTCTCGAAATCCGAGTCGTAATCGTCATCTTTCTTCTCCCCATCGACATCGTCGCTGGCACAGTTCCTCTGTCCCTTCTTCTCTGTCGGTTGTTTCTGCTTCTCCAATTTAACCACTCGTTCATCCTTCACATGCTGCTCCATATGTTTAGCCAACGACTGTTTCGAGCAACATTTCTTATTGCAACTTACACATTCCAGCTCCTTCTTGTTATTGTGCTTCTTCTGGGAATTATCCCGTTTACCCCGACCATAATTTCCGTCCATGGAACCGACGCGATCCGCCCTGAGGTTGTTATCGTCCTCCTCGTCCTCCTCGTCGTAATCCTCCAAACCGTCCTCCGTTTTAATCTTATCGATGATCTTCTGCGCCGCTCTCGCGGCGACTCGTTTGATCCGCTTGTTAGGATCGTACTCTTGTCCATGAATGAAAGTTTTGTGATTGGTTGCTATGAGATGATTTCTCAATGTAAGCTCGTTACCGAACGTTTTGTTACACTGGGTACACTTGAAACTTTTCACGCGTTCGTGCTGCTGTTCCACGTGCTTCAGCAACAAATCTTTCCTCGGGAACCGCTGACAGCACGCCTTGCAACTATACTCGTGCCCCTGTGTCTCTGTGTTTCTAAACAGAACGATATTTTGTCAGATGCGTTCCTGAAACGCTTAAATATCTTTTGCTTCTTTTAATATACCTACCTGTCGCTTTTCCCAGACCCGTTCTCTAATTCAACACGCCCCGCTTCGCCACCATCTTCGTCTTCGATTCTTTCCCCGCTTTCTTTCCTCTCCATTCCGTAATCTCCGCTCTCTTTTTCGATGGTGTATTCTGTCGTATCGGCTTCGAAATCCTGCTCGCTCAACACGCCTTCGACGACATGCTTCGCACGATGGTTCCTTAGCTTCTCCATCGAATCGAACTCCTCCTCGCAGATACTGCATTTAAGGACAACGTGCGAAACGGAGTGTTTTCGTAGACCACGCTTCGTATGGAATTTCTGCGAGCATTTGTCGCAAGCGAACGGAAAAGTTTCCATGCTTTGATTTTCTTGTTCCTCTTCTCTGGTCGAATTACTGCCTTTCTCCTCTCGGTTCTCTCCTTCCTCGTCTTCGTCCTCGTCTTGTCCATGCTCTTCATCCTCATCGTCGTCGTCGTCGTCGTCGTCTTCTATTTTCTTCGTCTTCGTTCTAGCGAAACTGTCTTTCCTCTTAGCTCTTTTCCGACACTCGGAATTCGAATGCTGCGCGTCCTCGTAATCCTCGAGGTCCAAACTGTGCTCGTCCTCGTGAAACGAGATTTCTAACGGCATCGGGTCCTCCTTACCCTCTTCCTTCTCTCGTTCGTGCTTCTTCAAATGTTTGCTATACGAAATTATGTAGATGTACTGTTTGCCACAGTAAGGGCATTTGTTGGATCTTTTACCCGATGGAGGCGACTTCGCCACATTGCATACACTCTTTTCAGGTGTTTCTGATGGTTTTTTTAAGGACAACGCTTTTCTAACTTCCTCGTGAGAGTGCATATGTTCCTTCAAAACGCTCTTCGACAGGAACTCCTTGTCGCAGAGATAACAGAGGAAGAATACTTTGTCAGATTTATCAGAGGGCTCGACGGTTTTCAATCTCGAGCTTAAATTTAGATTTTCAAAATAATTTTCTTCGTCGGAATTCTGTTTCGCGTCGAAGCTTCGTCGAGCCAATTTACGTTTACTTCTTCTTGTTTCGTTCTGACAGATAGAATGTTCTTCTATTTTAATATCCATTTTTGCATCGTCCGGCTCTTCTTGTTCCTCTTCGTCTTCATCTTCCTGACTCGTCACATCGGCCGCCTTTACCAATAAATTTACATATTCCGCGCAATCCTCGCGGGGAAACGATTCCTCGGAATCGTTAAGCTGCTGCTGCTGTTGCTGTTGTTGCTCTTGCTGCTCCTGTTGACCATCATTGGACAATATACATTCTTGTTGCAGTATATAATCGTGTTCCATGGGTGGAATCCTCTCGATGTAATTATTATCCCTACTTTGGTGCTTCAACATTTCATCGTCTCCTTTGGCGGCCTCCGCGATCGCTTTTACAGCCTCCTCCTCGTGATTCAGACAATCCTCTGACGTTTGTTCTGTTGTAATTGTTTGATCAATTACTTCTTCCATTGCTTGACCATTGTTCTGTTCTAGGAAACACAAATGGACTTTTAACACCATAAACACGATTTATTTTATTCTTTGATCGGATCTTAATTTACCTCTCATAGCCTGTTCATTTTCAGTCAGCTTTTCCACTTGTAACAGAGCCAACTGATCCTTTAAGAGAGATGATTTCTCTTCTTGGCTCATGGGTGCTAGGCTTCCCGTGTTGTTCTGATAATGATTATCTATATGTATCTCCCCTATACCCTCGTTTCGTTCTCCAGCATCTAGATGTACTTCAACTTCATTGAAGAACAGCTCCTCCTTTATGTTCATAGTGACAAATCTTTCTCTAAGAACTGTGTCTGCTTGTTCCACTTGTAACTTAAATTCGTACGCGGATTCTAGCTTGTCTGCGCACATGCAGCAGACGCGGGACGGTAAACCATCCCCGGGTAACATCTAAAACAAACGAACAGCGTCAGTGATGAAACGAAACGAAAGATTATAATATACATCTGCAAACGAATTTTCCTGATATTTTCTTATATTCTTTAATAGATTTACTTATCGCGTCGTGTCGTGTTGTGTTGTGCTATGTATCGAGCATAACGAGCATAAATTTACTTTACGGTTTACCATACAAAATTTAACCTCTAAATTACGTGTCTAACCTTAACATTGGCGAAACTCATCGCTTTTGCTGAAAGAGAATCAACCTCGTTCTCCAGAAACAAGTCTCTCATCACTAAATTACCAAGAAGGCAAACACGGCATATTTCTACCGTGGAGACGATGCCTTCTTCGTTTTGTGACGAATCCGATGTATTTATTTCTACGGCGTCCATGTTTTGTTTGGTGGACTGACTGGCCCGTGCCTGCTACTCGCAGCCCACAGCCTGCAGTCCACAGTCACCCGGTCTCTTGCTCCCTCCAGGCTGCGATTAACCGTAACCCTTGTGCTCTGCCTCTTGCTTATTGCTGCAACAGTCACGGCTCTATATAATAGCAGATTATTATTAACCGTTCAAAGTATTTTTCACCATTATCAACCGTCTACGAGAGCTATGTAATACAGCGACACTCTACCGACTCACCTTTTCTCTCTTCTTTTATCTTCCTTTTTACGCTCTTTATCGCACCGTACTCGTTACAGTTTACATTTCATCATTTCACTTTACGTTCTCTATATTGTTTTCGAAAAGCTCAAGTCACGTCTGAAATTGTTTCGGAACGTTTCGAACGGCCGAGAATACTTCCGAGGATCGATAGATGGCTATAGCCACAAACATTTGTAATGTTGCGCGTTTACGAATTACACCCACGAATTTCCTCATTGACTTTAATAAATATTTACAACTAGCTCCAAACATAAACAATGCCGTTTAATGAATTTATGTACGATTATTCGATTTAAAAAAACTGATCAATAAACGCAATAAGTCGATCGGTAAAGAAATTACTAGGGCAGATAAATTTGTTACTAGTTGCTTTTTACAGATGGCGTAACGTGATTATTTCGAAACAAGTTATAAGTATCGAGCAAAATAGGAAGGGGACGTCTACGGGGAGAACTGAGCACCCGGGTACTCGGGAACCCGATGAAATCAACAGGAATGATCAGGAAGTCGGGAAGGGAGACGTAACCTGGAACTTCGCCATTTTCCCTAGGGAAGTCTACTTTGCTTGACCCTGTACATTACATTTTATATTTCGTCTGTGATATCTCTTAAAAACATGAAGGTCATCTTGATCCTTTTTTTTTTAATTGATTAGTATATTTTTCTTCTTTGCCACGTGAAAGCGGTTTCTCGGATTAATAAAAACGACTTCGGTAGGTATAAGGTTCTTCACCATAAAGGCATTTACGTCGTAAATAAGAAATATGGTTTTAACAACTATCGGTAAAGTTATCTATATTATCGATTTATCTTTGAGCAACAGAATTTGGCTTTGATTTCTTTTTTTCGGTAGCCTTTTACGGAATACTGAAATATAGTGGGAGCAACATAAAATGAATCATCGTAAGATGCGCGCGCATATAGGTACGGCTGTTCGTCGTTTATTACGCGTTGTGTGTTATGTGTGTTACCGTTGAAGTGTTCCAAACCGTTCGCGCAAATGATGTCAAACGTTGTAAATCAACGATGACAGTCATTGACTTGTACAGTTTATATTACAAAACGAACATTTTTCTACTTTTCTGAATGCACAACATATCGTATCATTTAAGAAATATCGTCAGTTAATTTTATATATTTTCGGTGAGTTTTTCTATAAATAGAAGGTTTCGTGAAAACAAGCGACGAAATTAAACTGTGATACTAATATGTACGGATGTATCTATATGGTATTTATGAACTATGCGCACGTGTAGCCTTAAAAAACAGTTTGAAATTCAATTAAATCCTGTAATGCTTATGCCGCGGGATAAATTCCTCGCATTTATTGAATCTATATATACTTGATGAATATCTTAAGATACAAACGAGAGCAGGTCATCTATATATGCGTTCCGTGCATACGTGTTGTTTTTGCTTCATAAGAGGTAAGAAGAAAAAAGGGCAATTAGTTTCTTGTGGCATATTAAACTTGCTCGCACTGTAGATGGTTTCTATGAAAAAATTTGAAATCATCAAGGGCAAGAGGCCGGGGGAAAGATATGCCCAAAATAGAAGTCATGACAGAAGGATTTTGTCTGGATATCCTTCAGCAGGAGAGGAACTATTTTTAGCTTAAGTTAGACACCCCGGAACAATGTGCACTTCCCAAGACGCTTTAAAGCCCTTCCGAATGAAGATCTGTATTGCTTTTTTTTACAGTAATGTGCTTTTTTTGATTTTGAATAGGACTATGGAGAATGAACGACATTATGGACTACGAAGCGGAAGCAGATCACGTTCCCAAACTCCTTTGGTACAAAACCGTGCCTTAATTGAACCAGAGATTCTAGAACACCATTACGATTTGAGAAGTAGAAGTAAAGAGAGATCTCACACTCCTGGAGAGGTTAGCAGAAGATCCGCTTCTAGAATGTCGTAAGTGTATAAATATTGATTGTTCTTGGGGGCATGATGTAGAAAGTTCATTCGTGTAATATTCCAAGGACTAATTTTTAATATTCCTTCAGACTTGGTAGCAGTAGTAAGACTAACGATCAGAGCATGGAAACGACAATGGAAAGTAGAAAGGAAAGTTCTGCGCTTGACACTTTGTCAGAGGAGGAATGTAGGAAACTTGAAAATATTTGTACCGGTACAAAAAGGGTGGAGCGTCGATCCGAACGACAGAAGGCGAAGAGACAAACATTTTCAAACGGTCAGACTGACAATAAAGAAGATCCCTCTGGGAGGAAGAACGAGAAAGGTCGTAGAAGCGTTTCTCCGCGTAGGATTATTACCAGCGATTATTCTTCGGAGGAAGGGGAACGAGAGGATTCATCTAACAGACCAAAATCTGCCCACGAGATTTATGAGCAAGCTGGTGATTGGTGGAAGTGGGTATTCGTAATATTAAATTCTTAATTTTCTATATTTATACGATAAAATGTTTCAGTGTATTCCCTAAAACAGACTATACTTACTCGGCGAAGTCTCAGTGTCGCTATGAAATAGCGCCCGGTATATTAGCAATGCCAAACATGTCTCGACGCTCGATCCATTCAGACACGAGCGGAGCGTATGATTCGACGAGTATGGATAAGGAGAGGGAATCGGATGTAAACATCTCTACAGTGAGTGTAGAAGCTACATTCAATATTAATAAGCAACTAATTAATATTATTCTGATATAATGCAGCCTATAAACGATGCCCACCAGTCGCGTAGTTCGAGTTCCGAAGCAAAATCAAAGATACAATATAAAAAGACACATGTAGAACAGTATCATTGTCATAGAGAAGCAGTTTACGCAGTACCAAAAACGTCATTGAGTTCACGTACAAGGTTTGTGATTTCTTCAATTATTTATATAATATCTAAGATGGAGCATTTATTGAAATAAACGTTTGATTTTTTTTTTTTTTTTTAGGCAATCATTACGTTCTGACTCGCAATCAAAATCTACCCATTCTCGGAAATACAATGTTACGTCTTGTACCGATTCTGACACAGAATTGGACGAAGCGATTACGAGCTACCATGATAGAGAAAAAACAATAACGCGTCGATTTATGAATTCTATTTCGATCGTTGTTCTATGGTTTAGCAAACTGCTTGAATTTTTGAAGCTGAAAGCAGTTAAAAGAAGAGAATATAGTGCTACTTACGAATATCAAAGACACGGTATTTGTTAGATTATCAATATTTTTCTAATCGAATGTATAATTTGACATAGTGTAATGTAAAATGAAAATTTCATTTTCAATTGTAGAATCATGGTGGTACAAAATATGGCGATTAGCTGATCGTTGCTCGCAGTATGTTTACCTTTTTATGGTTAAAATATTCTTCTTTGATTCATGGTTGTTGAGCCGAGTTTCTGGCGTTAGAAGATGGACGCACCAAAGAAGCTCAAAAGTACTTTGGGTCGCTCTACTGCCATTACTTCTTTTGACTGGTAAATTTGAAATAACGTAATAATAAAAATCGCTTTAAGATATTCAACAATATAAGGATCAGCACCTTTGTGTCGTTAATTTTTAATCTGTAATCTAGCGTTCGCCTAGAAGATCGTGTTTTTTGTCCTGGCATCTTCGGGAAAGCCGGTAAACCTATCCTGGCGTTTGTTTTTCTTTTTGTTTCAGGAGCTTACATCGTGCAAAAGCAATCCTTTATTCGTCTGGATTCTCTGCATAATGTTCCCTATGATGTCACTGAGACGAGCTATCGCATCTTTAACGATATTATCAATTTAACATATTTCCAAAGCAATTTAATTATCGAATACATAAAAACAGTTAAAAATTTATCAACATACTTTACGCCCAGTATGAACGTGTCTTTGCCTGAGATGCCTTAGCATTGAACGGAATTTTGCTTTGGTGATCGGGTCTGATATATTATTCTTCACAATTTCTTCGTTCATTAACTGTTACTTCATATTTTTAACATGTATTTTATAAATAACCACGCAACAATTGTTTGGCAGCAATTGTTTCCTTATATTTGCTTATTTATTAGATTTGCTAGTGTCGTTGTTTAGATTTATTAACTTGGTGTTTATGACGGAGCTTATTACCATCATAGTACATTGTCATTGTAATCGCTATATCGTTGAAGTTATGCATATTTCTTATATTCAACAGTAAAATATTGCATTATTTTAACCGATGAATGCTAAGGTGTACTGTCGTGTTTTCTTTTCAACGTACATATGCGTACTGCATGCACAGTAGTTTACTCTTTATTTTCGTTTTCATCGCGATCAGAAATGAATCGAATCGAGCAGTAGGTGCTAACAGTAATATCTATAAACGATGCTACGGTATCTGTAAAAAACACGTTCATGCACCGTTCGATGCACTCGTAAAAACGCTAATTTCATAATGCTATGTGTATAAAAATTGAAAAGAAAAGAAAGGAAAAAAAAAAACAGATTTGATGGAGTCATTAAAGTCGCGTTATTATATGAAAAGATGGGAGAAGGATAGAGGGAGTAGGATTCCTCGACTGGCGATATAAAATTGGAGTGTTTGCGCTTCGCGAGGAATATGGACATGATCTATCTATTATGTCGATGTCATCGGAACGGTGAGTCCCTTCGTCTATCCTTCTCTCGGTAATTATGTCAAGCCGCGAAAGCTAGCAATGATTAAATAGTGTCACGTGCTTACATTTCAGGTTGTTGGTGCTCACCATACCTTTCAACGTTGTTCCTTTCAACCAAAGTTATCGCGCGACAGTTCTGGGAAACGTCGGAGCTGCTTACACCTGGTAAGCAATCCTACTTGAAGGGGGAAGATGAATTATTGTCGTTGGAGAAAAAATTGGAGGAATATAGTCAACGCACACCTGAATTAAACTTATACGCTCGGAAGATCGAGGACATGAAATTACAATTCGAAACACTGAAGGAACTTTACGCACAGTTGCAACCGTGTTGCAATAAAAATTTCGTTACCAAAGAAGATCTGGAGAAACGCATCGAGGCGATCGTGGCCGATCATTTTGTTAATAAAGATTTTCGGGACGCGACGATTGCAGATAGGGACAGCGGTAATCTAAAGAAGCGTAGTCTCCTTTCTTTAAATTTGTATGTAAGAAATATTTCTGAAACTTTCGTTCGTTACAGGCGGGGACAAATTAGTTAGTAGCAACATTGTATCGGACGATCGTGTACGGGAAATAGTAAAAGAGGCTTTGAGAGTGTACGACGCGGATAAAACAGGACGCGTCGATTACGCTTTAGAATCTGCCGGTAAGTGGAAATTGATCGATGATAATGATTTTTCACGAGGATAATCCATTGATTGATTGTACGCAGGGGGTCAGATCATTAGCACCCGTTGCACGCAAAAGTACGATATAAAAACAAGAGTGTTCAAATTACTTGCGTTGACGCTTCATCATGAAAATAACGATCCTCGTACGGTGATACAAGGAAATCCGATACAACCAGGTATTTGTTGGGCGTTTCAAGGCTTTCCAGGATATTTGTTAATCAAGTTACGTAGTGCCATTTTCGTGACTGGCTTCACGTTCGAGCACGCGGCAAAAACAATTTTGCCTAACGGAGAAATGAGGAGCGCTCCGAAGAAGTTCAACGTTTGGGTGTGTAAAATTATCTTTCTGCTTTCTTCATATATGATAAATTAATCGAACGTTTGTACATATAGGGTTTCGAAGATGAAAATGATCCCGCGCCTGTGATGTTCGGTGATTACGAATTCGTCGCATCGGACGATAGTTTACAATACTTTCCTGTTCAAGTGAGTCAACGAAGCTATACGTTGTGTCCTGCATTATTCAATAATCGTGTTAACTTCACTGTGATTCTTTCATGTAGAATGCAACGATCGAGAGGCCTTACGAATACGTGGAATTAAGGATACAAAGTAACCATGGGCAACTGGAATACACCTGTTTATATAGGTTTCGCGTTCACGGGGTACCTGTCTAAGCGAAGAACCCGGAGAAACTGTGCTTTTCAAGTCTGGTGACTAATATTGTTGTTTGAATAATTGACCGTTTTCACGCTGATACGTGCCTTCGATGATCCTTTTCAGTTTAACCGAGAAATACCGTCGCGATCATGAGATTATGTATTTTGAAACACGGTACGAAACAAGACGGATAAAAGATGGAACTTAAGTTACCGTTACCATATACGTAAACAGTAGAGTGCTTGAACGTTCGAGAAGACTAAAAGTCGAACCATTACTTTACCATTTACCTTGGTGCGAGTGTTTGTTGCTCTCTCTCTCTTCCCTTGTTTTACCGTTAAGCACAAATATAACGCTCGATCGAGCAGACGTGAAAATACGCGGTTGGTTATTTAAAGTAATGGAAACAACGGCGTTGGTTGAACAACGTCGTTGCTCGAGATATTATGAAAAGTTGAGTAAGTTGAATACCTGTAATATCCCACAACTGTAAAATTACGCGACAGTACAAATTGTAAGGAAGATACGTGTTTTCTTTAGTATAAGGTATATTTGCAGTGTTTGTACGATGATCTTTATTATAATGTATTTTACGGAAACTTAATATAGCATACTTAATAATATATGTATTTAGTTGGGTGCACGTTGCTGGTGCAGATGTATGTGTACGTATGCATATGTACACATTGTTCGAATGTGTGCATGTATGTATGTACAATATCAATCATAGCGTCCGTTCGTCTAGTGTATTTTGTAATTTCAAGCTTTTATCAGATGATTATGTTAATTAATTTAACAGTTTTATTAAATAATTAGATTTATGATATTTGCTAAGGTTAAACTTGGACTCCAAAATCAGTGCTTTTTCACTAGACGAATGAACACTATGATTGATTTGTATATCGTATATGTATAATATACCAAGAAACATATTGTTTTTCAATTGTAAAGCGAATCTATTGATTGTAATTAAATTAATTGTAAAAAAAAAAAAAAAACGGATTAATTGAACGCCGGAAATAATTATTTTTGGGAGAAGAGAAAGGACGATGAAACGTTGATTTTTGAATCATCTTTATTCACGCAAAACAAGAATAGACTTAAATATTCGTGTCAATAATCATACGCGTACACACACGTGTAACGTACACATCGCTTAGGTACATGAAACGCGTGTACGCATTTCTTGTATGCATATACGTGCGATAAGACAATATAATATACATTATATATCTATATATATCTATATATATAGAATTGTACAAGAATCAAATTGGATAGTATACGCATTCTTAGCCGTTTCACTTTTCGTTTCTACCTGCGCATCACGAAAGCGTAACAATGGTAATGCCGACGCAAAACACGAACAAGTTGATAAACTAGAGAAGAGAAAAGAACGGGGTAAGAGGAAAGGGAACGAAGAAAGAGCAAAAGGTAAAAGGGTTTTGGCGGTTGTTCGGTTTCAATCGAAAAATGATTCGCATTCCTCGGCAAAGTGCTGGTGCGCAGCTGTAGAAACAAAATGAATACGCGTCGACAAGAAGATTCTGGAACGGTGTCGGAATGAGGTTCAATACTGATTTTGGAATGCTCGTAATTCCCTAAACTGGGAATGCGTTAGAATCTTAAATAATATTCGATAACATTAAAAAAGGAATCTCGATATCGGCCAGTTACTAACGATTCCTGCAAGACAGTCAGAGATCATCCATTGGAGCACGAATAATACACAATGTTACGCGAAAAACGATAGACGCCGCGTTCTATCGCCGCATATCTTTTTTTTTTTCTTTTTCATTTTTCATTTCTCTTACGACACGATAGAATCGCGTCGAAGAACATTCGTCGATAAGTTTTATGACCGCTTTACGATCGCCCTTCTCGAAACTAAAGAATGTGAAGAAATAAATAAATATTACGCGTCTACTACATACGGGTAACGTACTCCGTTCATCGTTCGACTCACACTTACGAGCGCCAGTGTGCATCGGTCGTTTCATTGACACCGGATCTGTCGCTCGTCCGTTCGATTTCGTTTCTCTGTTTCTCCTTTCTCTAAACATAATTTGAAATGAACACGGAGTTCGTCGTAGCGATATCGTGACAAATTGTAACAACAATAAGTATACTATAAACTAACAATACAATATTATATAACGTAATATAAAATAATATGATATAATAGTAACGATAGTAATGGTGCGAGGGGTTAGTGGAAGGAAGTGCATATGAAACGATAGAAAGAAGTGGATAATTTATAGTAAGCGAATAATTATAGTAGTTTTAATCAAGGTGTTCGAATTTTGAAGTTAAAATTTTCGACGCCATGATGAAGGTACGAAGAGAACTTGGTAAGTAGAGAGCCCATCGACAGTATCGATAATATCGATGTTCGAGAGATAGCGGTAAGGGTTAGAAGTAGGAATAGTAGAGTGTGCTATATACTAGCACGATATTAATGATGGTGGTAATTGAAGAAATATAAGTGATGCTAAAAAAGTAGCCCGTGCGTGATAATCGCGATTTTTCAATGCCCTTTTCTTGCCAATCGAGTTAACGATTCTCCGATCGGTAACACTCTACATCGGAATGAAATTCGCGTCGCGTTGCATAACCGTAGATCTGACTGTCGCGCGTACGAAACGTAAGTCTCGTCCAGGATCGTTCGTTTCCGCAAGTGTTTTTCCAATGACAATTTCGGCAAAGGGAAAAAGGATAAACAGATGCATCGTGTATAAGTAACGCATAAGGTATGATCGTTGTTTTCTTTCTATAGGAATTAGGTATATAGCGGTATATAAAAAGAAATAAAAAATAATAATCGGCGCAATAACGAGCGACGATACTCGACGTAAAAATAATTAATTATCGGATAAATCGGATAAAAAGACAAAAGGCGCAATACGCGAGCGCAAATATTCTGTCGACTAGATTCGTAGATGGGTTTTATCGAGGGCCGGGGTGGAGGCGTGCAGAATTCGTTAATACCGCTTCGTATCGGTGTTTCGGAGACACGCAACTTTTTTCTTTTCTTTTCACGGAACCGAGACGAGGAAAAAGATCGTAAACAAGAGAATACAACTATATCGACCGCTGTTAAACTTTCAACTCTAACCTCAAAAGCGTCAAATTAAAAATCGATCCATCGATCTCTCTTCCGGTCTATTCGAATATATATCGCATTCGCGTTCACCTAATGTATCGTTGCGTTTCCGAATAAAACAAAGAAGGTACGTACGATTATGCGGCCCCACTCGTGAATCCCCAGTTTAGGTTCGTGTTCGATGGATCGAACGTGACAAAAAGAAGGAAGCGTGAACGAAATATTTAACGAATGCTGTTGTATCCAAGATTCTCCGTACAGTTACGAGGATGGTTAATGTTGGAAGTCGATAGCTTGTCGTATCTGGTATCTCGTATCTGGTATCTGGTATCTCGTTTCTGGTCTCGTTCGTTGTTCCTCGTCGATGTTGTCGTTGGAATCGTCGTGATCGTAGATGTTGCGAATGGAAAACGTTCGCAATGAAAGGCGCGTCTCTCTCTCGTTTTATCTTACTTCTTGCCGCCTAGGTACTCGACCATCTCTTCAAATTTTTCCTTCTCATCCTCAAGCAGCAACGCTTGAATGCAGCTGGTAAAGTATTGCGTACCAAAGCAGCCTTGCCTAAACCCGCGGGAACATCAAACAAACGGACATTAATAAATAGACATATCTGTTGGAAAGGTTCTTCCTCGCGGTGTCTCTCGCACGTTATCGCGTAAGTAATCCGGAAAAATTTGTATGCGAGAGACGGTCAAAAAATTATCGTTCTCCAACTGCGACCAGGCTGGAAGCAAAAAAAAAAAAAAAAAAAGGTGCTCCAGCCATCTTCGTCAAGAACCTGCAAAAATATTTAATCGTTGCAAAAACATATTTCAATGCCGGAGCATTTCCATCGGCGATCGGTGTTTGGTACTCTGAAAAATACACCTTGCAAAATTCGTCGGCTCGAAAAACACGCGAAAACGCGGACCAAAAAAAGTAAACAAAAACAAAACTTTCTCGTAGCGTTGCGAGAAAAAAAATAGACGCAAAAAGTGGGGTAAAAAGAGGGGGAATGGGAGAGTGGTTCGGTGCAAGTTGCACGTTTATCCAGGACCGCAGCCACCCAGGGCACCGTTTAAAATTGTGACCCGTATACCGATCGAACGATACGCGCGATTCCACGAAAAAAAACCCGCATGGTAATATCGATCGAGATTGCGCATTAATACGAAATCAACTGACAATTACCTAATGACGTGTACAGCATGCGCGAATCTCGCGTATCACGCGCGTTGACTCGTTGACTCGTTATTTCTTGGAACGACGTCGAAGGAGAATCGTTTTCCGCACGGTTCGGAAAATAAGCTGGAGCTCGGTCGGTAAAGTAGAAACGTAGACTCGGGGGGGAAATAGAGTTAGCCGTGGAGCAACGAAAACAAACGTACAGTCGAGGAAAGGGTACGGAAGGAGTGGAGGAGTAGAGGTTAGAAGGTTGAAAAGTATCGAATAATAATTGTTATAAGTGTTCGCGTAGAAACGATGGTAAATTGGTCGAGAACAGGGAAATAATGCGATGGCGGGTTGTGGGGTGTTGCAAGGATCGAGAGAACGCGTTCAAACTGAACGTAATACGTATATGCGTAAAGGCAGGAAAGAAAAATAAGCATAAATGAAATCATAAACGTAAAAAAAGAAGCTACCTAAACCCCGGGTTCCGCTCCGTGAAGTTGCTTGATCCACGTTTGGATCTTCTCTACTTCATCTTGCAGCAATAGCACGTCTAAGCATCCTTTGAAGTAGTCTGACGTGAAACAGTTTTTCCTGGAAAAAAGAAAAGGTGAATATACAAAAACAGTGGACGCGGCTAACTCGTTGCCGTGTTCTTGCGGGTTCGTCCTCGATCCTGGCCACTGAAAACGAACGAGATACGGTCCCGATCGAGACCACCCGGCGACCGAGCAGATTCCTCTAGAACCTTGGACGAGTTCACGATCGTTAATTGTGCGTTCGCTGATAAATGTTGAAGAGAAATTTCGGACGAAACGCGAGCGTTGACCGAAGGAACGCGGGTATGGAACAACGGAGAAACGTTTCTACCGCGAGAAGAGAAAGGCGCGCTAGGAACCAAGTTTAAACGCAACCGTAGTTGCAAAGTGAACGCGCGAAAACGCAATTTAGCCGCGTTAAGAAACGCGTTTCAAAAGCCAAAGGCGCTGGGTGTCTCACGATTGAACATCAAGAACAATAGTAGGTAAAAAATAGAAGAATTGTCATAGAATTACCTGCACAGTTGATGCAACTGAGGCTCCCGGAATAGGTTGTAACAATCCTCGCAGATACGATCCAGCCGAGCGAAGATACTCTTGTCGTATATACCCTTACATTGGATATCGATAAACGACCTTTTACCCAATGGATGCCCGTTCAAGATCCCAGCATCCGTCAGACCGATGCAAGAGGAGACGAGTAACAAAGTCACCGACCAAGCCAACACGGAGACCAATCTCGGGCAGGGTATCGACACGGTCGAACCGATCGAGGATTCGCTCGGTAACGAGGATAACCTCGAGCAGGACGTCTGCTGCACGCTCCAAGAGTACGACGGCTGGTTCGACGTAGGCCACGTCGCCGTAGACGACAAGAAGGTAGACCGCTGCGACGGCGGCGTCGAGGATGACGCTGATGTTGACGCGGCTACCGTCACCGGTGACGACGTCGTCGTCGTCGACAGCGACACGCTCGGGACCGACGACCGGGACGTTGAAAGTGGCAGCGATAACGACGACGACGAGGGTAACGATGGCGACGGGAGTCTCTGTTGTCGATGCATAGTCTGTAAAAGAAGAAAAACGAATCGTCTTACCGATGGTAAACGCAGAGACCAAAGAGATCGCGCGGACATAGAAGGAAAGGGAAGCATAGAAAAGAAAGTGTGTCATCGAAGAATCGGAAGAAGGATGAGCTTGCGAACACGGGACGGTCAGGTGTCAGCCTAGGATTAAAAATCCTTATCGAACGTAACGATCGTTGGTCCTCGTATACGTACGATCGGTTCACGGTATCACGCAGTGGTATATAGGTACTACAACGTTTCTCGAGGCATCGTACGAGCCCATACGTACTTGTACGTTTCAGAGTCCCTACTCTCCCGAATAATCCCCTTCCTCGTAAGTCTATCACCGGTCGCTTCGTAGCGAGCGTAATAGCGAATCGCCCTCCTGCCACTCTGCAACGACGGTAACAAACAACTGCGCGACAACGGTGACGACAACGAGGATCGGTCTCGCTCGAACGCACAGCATCTCGAAAGCGGATCCAAGGAGGGTAAAAGTAAAGATGTTAACCGCTCCTAACCAGTCCTGCGGCAGTCCCTGTGAATGGACCACACGCAGGTAGACCCCACCTGTAAACGTCCTGAACCGACAACTTCATTAAGCCGAGCCGAAGCACGGCAAAGGCGCGGAACGGAATGGAACAGAATGGAACAGAATGGAACGAAACGGAACGAAACGGAACGGAACGGAACGGAACGAAATGGAACGAGAGAGACAGGGCGGCGGGCCGCGGCGGAACGCGGCACAGCACGGAATGGCACGGTACTGCATAGCAATGCGCGCGAGACCATGGGGCCCCTCTTACTTACTCTCGCGGCGATCCGGGGCAATGCGAGATTCTCGAACGCACGACGGTTTCTCGTTCGTTCTTTTTTCTTTTTCTTTTTTCTTCGTCTCATCGGCGGCACCTGCACACGCCGAGGAGAGCGTTTCGCCCAGTTCTCTTTTTTCGGAACATAATCACTGCTCCCGGGTGGGATCTTATTTTTAGCCACGACCGATTCTCGGAACTCTCAAACCGCTCCACTCTATATCGAACCCCCCACCTGGTAATTGCCTGCGGCCTGATAATTTGCCTCTAAAGTCGTTCAGTCTCGATCGTTAAAGACCGCCCAACGGATTTCTCAGAGTATCATCACTGATCATCAACCATCGACTAGCGGACCCGTCAGCCGTCGATCGTTGATCATAGATTACCATCTGTCGGGTATCGTTTATCGCTCGTTTGCAACAAGTCGCTGGTTGTTATTCGACCGATTTTTCGTCAACGATTCGCCTCGCCCTATGTTACCATCGAATTCCAACCCGAAACTCCGTCAACTGCTAATCGTTCGCCAATAAGTCCTGCGATATTATACGCGTCGAGAATACATATTTGCCATACCTCGATACCTTCGATTCGTCGAGTGAAATCCGATCGGCCGAGATCGTTTGCCGAACAGATGTTACGTATTCGACTCGATACGTAACAACTTCTTGTACATTTGTAATTTTACGTTTCGTAAAAACAACACGCGTCGATTCGTGACTCGAACGAAAACTACTTTTCGACGAGTGGACTACACAAACGACACCTCCCCCACATGGTTGAAAAGCGAAAATAAGTCCTTGGGTATATGTATATCGGTTTTAGATCGATTCGAAAGCAAAGGGTGGTAAGAAAGAACTAGAACAGAGAATGGACGTCGATAGAGGCAGAGGGTTAAAAGGATGAAGAGCAGATAGCGGCGAGTCAGGCGGGAGAGCAACGAGCAACGCGAGTGTACGTAAACGAAGAAAAAGTCAATGGAGACCGGTTGCTCGACAGGTGAGGTCTTTCCTCGGCCAAGCTACGCACAGGTGTGCAATCTGTAAATCCCCCATAGCAAAAAACTATACAGCCTTCGGCACCGCTTCACGACTCTGTCGTGCGCTGTTATCCCAGTCACTCTGGTTATACCGATCGAACGATTACCCCCCCGAGCAAATGCAAACTTTCCATCGGTACGTGCTCACCGTCTCGCACGCCTCGCCCTTCTGGATTTTTTATAAGAACCATACGGATCGATTTCATCCCCCCCCTCGACCCACACCACCCAAATGCCATGACAAACTATCGTGATGAAAAAAATCGAACGATAAATAAAGACGAACGAGAAATGGCGATAATGTGAGAACATCGTCTGAGAAAAGTCGAATAAAATCCAGTCGAAACGAGTCTGGTTGATGGGAATAAGAGGATGGAGGTACAAGGCGAAACAGTTCCATATCGTTAGATGAATCGTTGCCTCTCCACGCCAGGTGGTCCTTTTCCTCTGCCGGATGACTCAATCGTGAGAAGGAGTTGCTCGACGAGCTCAGGAGGGACCTCCTCCTCGCTAGGACCGCGCGTGCACCTCCCTGATCGGTGCCTGACTTTGTCCGACTTTAACTTTCTTCCTTCCCTACCACATTCGTAACCCGTGTGTACGCTCAGGTACACGGCTTTCTCTACCCTTTTCAACCCCTTTTCGCCCTTTTCTTTTCCATCCCATCATCCAGCCCAATTTGCAATATTTTTCCGATACACGGCTTAATTTTTCCTTCCATTTAATACGTAGGGTCGAAACAATCATGCCTGCGTGTTGGAGGGAGTCAGAAAATAGGGAGAAGAGGGAGAAGTAAGGACGGGTTGAAATCGTAAATCAAGCGACAACGAGGTGGCAGGACGAAGCGAGAACTACCCAAACGATATTTATATCCACGATATTCAACCGTGTTTGCCAATTCCTTTTGCGCCTTCATCTTCAATTTTTCTTTTTCACAGCGTTACGTGAATATCAGCTAATCGCAGGATAAATAAGGCGGTAATTGGACGTCGTAAAGAGATTAAGCAAAGAGGGAGATTATGACTTACCAGAAGTAAGAGGAGAAGAGAGAGGTATTCTGTCCTATTCTTTCCCATCCTATTCTATCTCGCGGACGAGGAGGTTCGAGAACTTTCTGGCAGGCTTGTATACACGTTAGCTAGAGGTACTTTGAAAGTGCCGCGAAAGTGCTGGTTATCTGGTCACGATCGAAGATCAAAGAGGTGGGCTGAGGTTGAGGGGGGGCACGTGAGGAGGGAAAGACAAGAGAGAAGAAAATAAGAGAGAGAGAAAATGGGAGGGCAAGGATTGGCTAGAGGGGTGGGGTGAAGAGAAGGACGCGGAGAAGGCGAAGAACTTGAGGAGGAGGAGAGATAGGCGGGTTGAATGGACGACGAAGAATCGAGGCGTCCTCGATCGCGGGATCTTGGAGTAAAACTAACGATCTCCTGCTCGCTTGCAAGATCAACACGACGATAATTTAATACACGAGATCACCACCCAGGTGTGCTCTGACGTGTACAGATGCTGTTTGTAACCTCGACGAGAAGGAAAAGGCTGAGTCGACAGAAGTGGGGAATCTATATGCGATTCCAAACGCGAGACTCCGAGCCTCTCATCCTCCTCCTACTTCCTTTCATTTCTTTCCTCTTGCTTTCGTCATCTCTTTTCCTTTTTTCCTCTCTTTATTTCCATAAAATGGAAAACGCGCGGATTTTTCGATTAAAAAAATTCCCTAATCGCCGAAGCAATTAAGCGAGCAAACACACCGATGCGGGCTACTAAGCGTAGGTATACTCGTTTCGAAAAGGCGGAAAATCATTTGTTCGCCTCTCGATTTTTTACCCGTTGCAATTAATACTCGGAACGAGCGCGCAGGAGCAAAAAAAGAAGAATGAAAAGCATTTCTAGCGTCATAACGTTTTCGTAGAAACAACTGGATACTACGAATCGAACGTCAGGATGAGAACACAGAAATACGTACGATGCGCGATTCGTCGATTCATCGAACAGAGACTACATAAATAGAGGAGCCAATGACGTCAATCGTTCGCGTTAATTACATAAGGACAGTCCTATTAACCTATGCCAACGGCGGACGATGATTAAACGTTAAGCGAATCCAATAGTCTCCAAAGTCATTAATCGAGCGACCGATGCCGCATGTTTCTTATTTTTCGCGTTTCTCGTTTATATATCGTTGCGTCAACGGCGACGTCAACGAGAATGCTTTCCATTCTCGAGAATAATCGAATTATCTAATCGAGCTTCGATACGTACGTACTCGCGATCGTATCAGACTTTCCTAGGGAAAAATGGCGGCACAGGTTAAGCGGGAATTCCTAAAATTTTAATTTCGACAATGTTGATATTAAATAATATAAGTTTCACTTATAAAATATTAGAAAATTTTATGTATAACTGGAAAGTACGAATAACAAAGTAAATGTTAATTCAAATTTTCCCGCGCGTACGTTTATACTCAATTGGTGGTCCGCCACAGCCCTATATATATGGGAGTCCCCTTCCCTAACCGTCATTCTCCCCGTAGCTGTCTACGGAGAAGGGTGAGAACCCGGGACATCAGCATTTTTCCCGGGGAAGACTGATTTGATCACGAGTGAGTAAGCTTAACAGCTATTAACCTTGAGCCACTTACGAGAATGGTAATTTAGGAGAATTTCGCGAAGACAAGAGGAATTAAACGACACACGCGTTTCTCGCCAATTAACGATCAGCTAAATTGTACGCGTTCGACGAAAGCTCGCGGTGTACTAGCGCGCAAACTCGCCTCGATACCGATCGCGGTATTTAATTCAGATGAAACGCGCGGCACGAGCTGGGTTTCATCCTGCAAAGATTAAGTAGAAAAAGGGTATAGCAGGATAAGATAGTCAAAAGTGCCCTTGAGCCGAATTTGCTTCGCAATGCACCATTCGATAGCATATCCCAAAAAACCATGGTACACCAAGTTTCAACCCTGTACCTCAACCGGGAGGGTAGTTACAGGGTAAGAAAGAAAAAGTAGTTTTTGCCATATTTTCCCTATTAAATGGCATTCAAAAAATCTGAAAAAATTCTAGAATATTCTAGCCATGTTTCTTTATGATTGTGAATTTTCTCAGATTTTTCGGTTGCAAATCCTAGGCGTGAAAAATCAAAAACGCAAAAAAAAGTCGAAAAATAGAGATTTCGGGTAGAAGCTTTCGAGACACTAGATTTTTACTTTTACAGTAGTTAGATATTAGCATGACTGGTGTCCTCAATTTTTTTCAGATTTTTCATTCTGGTGCGTCAAACCGAAAAAAATCAAAAACCGATATTTTCGACATATTTCGTGCGATAACATGAGAAATACTTTCAATTTCTACATTTCCTTTACACACTTAGTGCATTATGTGATTTCGAACATTTTTGCACTGGATGCAGTAAAATCTGAATGGAGAGAGTGAAGTTATTATAAATAATTGAAAATTACGCACCTTATCCTCTAAAATATTAGAAACTTTTTCAACGTCGCCGATGGATAAGTCGGTAAGGTGTCCGACTATGGAACCGCTGGAAACTTTTTTGTCACGAGTTCGCGCCCCATGAATGTACAATTCTATTTTTTGTCATAAAACAATTTTTTTTTAAATTATTAATCACATAAGAATACACAATAATCATTTAATAACGTATGAAAATAATTTTGAAATATTTTATTATTAAGTATACATAAAAATAAGTGGTGCACTACCGATTTTCTGATTTCGTACTGTTCTAATTACGGATAGCTCCCAATATTTTGTTAATTGAAAAGTTGTGTGGTTGTTGGTTTATGATGGATATTGAAATCAATACAGATATGTATATTTTACCTTAATTGTACATATAGCCAAAGAGTCGGTTGTGTACCACTGATTTTTATGTATACTTAATAATAAAATATTTCAAAATTATTTTCATACGTTATTAAATGATTATTGTGTATTCTTATGTGATTAATAATTTAAAAAAAAATTGTTTTATGACAAAAAATAGAATTGTACATTCATGGGGCGCGAACTCGTGACAAAAAAGTTTCCAGCGGTTCCATAGTCGGACACCTTACCGACTTATCCATCGGCGACGTTGAAAAAGTTTCTAATATTTTAGAGGATAAGGTGCGTAATTTTCAATTATTTATAATAACTTCACTCTCTCCATTCAGATTTTACTGCATCCAGTGCAAAAATGTTCGAAATCACATAATGCACTAAGTGTGTAAAGGAAATGTAGAAATTGAAAGTATTTCTCATGTTATCGCACGAAATATGTCGAAAATATCGGTTTTTGATTTTTTTCGGTTTGACGCACCAGAATGAAAAATCTGAAAAAAATTGAGGACACCAGTCATGCTAATATCTAACTACTGTAAAAGTAAAAATCTAGTGTCTCGAAAGCTTCTACCCGAAATCTCTATTTTTCGACTTTTTTTTGCGTTTTTGATTTTTCACGCCTAGGATTTGCAACCGAAAAATCTGAGAAAATTCACAATCATAAAGAAACATGGCTAGAATATTCTAGAATTTTTTCAGATTTTTTGAATGCCATTTAATAGGGAAAATATGGCAAAAACTACTTTTTCTTTCTTACCCTGTAACTACCCTCCCGGTTGAGGTACAGGGTTGAAACTTGGTGTACCATGGTTTTTTGGGATATGCTATCGAATGGTGCATTGCGAAGCAAATTCGGCTCAAGGGCACTTTTGACCATCTTATCCTGCTATACCCTTTTCTTGGAATCGAGCAGTGCTCGCTGAATCGAATCCTTCGAGAGGAAGAATACAACTGATTTCCATGAAATTCGTGGAATAGATGGGCTTTCTGGTTAGCTGTCTGTGTCCAAGGCGAAGGAAGGCGAAACAAGGCGAAGCAGAGCGGGCAAGGCAAGGCAAGGCAAGGCAAGGCAAGGCAAGGCAAGGCAAGGCAAGGCAAGCCATGCCATGCCAAGTGAAGCCAAGCCAAGCACAGCTGCGTTCGTGTACAACTTCGTATGTAATGCACGTAGTCGACGCGCGGGTATTTGCGAAGGAATGCTCAACAGGTGTGTCGCCTGGATTGAGCTTTATACCCGCGTGCACGGCTTGCCTTTCCTTTCGCCCTTCCTTCTCTCCATCTCGCTCTCGCGCTCCGAGAGTCTTGCAGAGTATTCTATTCCCGGAGAATATTATATGTGCCGACGCGTAAACAGATCGTTCTCAAATTCATAGTTGTCATAACACACAAGCCCGTCACCGGTGACGTCCTGGTGCTCTTTAATAAAGACAACGAGTGAGTACGCGTTCGCGTGAAAGTATAGGAATACACGGAGAGTTGCCGACAGTGAGGCTACTGTTTCTCCAGACCTTGCGGGCATTAGTGCTGATGCGGTCTTTTTCTCGGTATGCCTGGAATGGTTCTCTCCAGCTTCAGCGGCTAAGAGGAAGCTCGCGATGGGAGTATCGGTACGATTTATTTACGCGATCCAGCTGCTCAGGAGGCTGCCGGTTAGATTCGAGAAGTGCAAAAGCATACCCCGTATGTAGGACAAAGCCAGCTCTGTGGTGGTCGGCATTACCGTCGTTCTACTCCGTCGATCTCCGTGCTCCAACTATCTCGACGTTCAAGTATCGTTCCATAGTTCTATCTTTGCCTCAGCACACTTTTATTTTTCCTCCCTATGATCCCTTATTCGTCATCGGTTATTAATACCCGTTTCGATATAGATCGGATTATCGACAGCGGATCGATGGAGGCCGCGCTACCGGAAACCTATCGACCGAACCACGGGAATCAAAAGCATACAAGCAAGTGATAAGCTTGATGGGAGCACGCGATTATAAATAGAAAGAGAAATAAAAAGGAAAAAGGAGAAATAAGAGCAGAAAGTAGACGAAGAGGAATGAGAGCAAAAGGGGGAAAAAATGTGAGAGGAAAAATAAGAGGAGAGCAGTCGGTGCTGGCAGGCTACGTCGCGATTGGATATTAGCGTCGAACGGTCGTAGTGGGGCGCAAAACAGCGTTCCGACAGACAGCTTGGCGTCCTATGGTTCGCGTTACAACTCGGTTGCCTTTCTTCGTCTTTTGCTTCTCTCGTTTCGCTTCACCGCATCTTGCACCGCACGTTTCGCTGTGTTTTCTCTTGATACTCGACATACACCTTCTTTTCCTTTCTCTTCTCTTCCCTTCCCTTCCTTTCCCTTTTCTTTTTTATTCCTTTTTCTTTTTCTTGGACAACCGTATCATTCTTCTGTCGGTCAAAGTATCGTCGATGAGTTTTTTCGGTAAATTACCGACTGGAAACGTGATCTCGATCATTCGGATCTTTGAACGTGAAACTATCGCAAGCAGGTACATCGGGCGGTAATTATTTCAAACGTTAATCGTTCACGCCCGACTGTTTGGTATTTGAAAATAGTTTCTAGTTGAAAAATATACGAAATGCGGGCAAGAATCTTTCTTTGTTCTGTTTTCGAGAGGCTAATATCAAACGGCAAGGACCCCAGTTATTGTTCGAAAGGGGCGTTACACCACGATCTAATGCGATTATTAATCGCTGCTCTGGCTCGGCTCGTAACACGAACCGTTGTAAAACGGCCGTAGTGTTCAATTCATTCCGTTCTCTTTAAATAGTTTCGAGTGAGCGTACAACTTGACCGCGCGGCAACCACCGATCTAAGAAAAGACCGCCGCGGTATTTTCGAATACACTAATAATACATATATAGTGACGCAACTTTCACGAAACGTTAAGTTTCCAATTAACGGTCGAAACCGTTACCGACAAACATTCACCGGCCACGGTTTAATCCTTTTCCTTCGAACAACCGTGTCTGATTGATCGCGTCTGAAGTTCTTTCGCGAGACGACAAGATTAACGCAATAAAACCTTATTTCCCTATTCGTTTGGTAGAAAAGTCGAGAGCGCGCGCGCATCGCTCAGTGAATTTCTCGAGAGGCGTGTCGCTGCGAGCTACAGGTGGCTGTTGTACTCAGTTCCTCCTACTCTTTCGCTTCTTCGGTCATTCTTTATCTCTACTATATAATATTACAGGTATGCAATTCTTTTTTTTCTTTTCAATATCTTCCCTTTCTCTATTTTCTTCCTTTCTTCTCTCAAGTTCCTTTCGCACTAATTCGATATTATCCTTTTTCCATTTCTCCGTAAGATGGCATTTATGGTATTTGCCATCAAGAAATGTTAATTCCTTGGTATCTCCTTTTGTTGCAGCTCTCGAAGCAAATAAGAATCGCGATGCATCTAACCAGAGAACACACTGTGTTGAATCTGTTTTGCCTCTTACTTCCTCGTATGTATGTTGCTCTTTCGTGCATGAGTCAACTGGTGTCGTGTTTGGCCCTCGCTCGGCCCCGAGTAAAAGATTCCCTGAATGAACTCTAAAGATAGAAGCCCCCTTGCACCCTTTCGTTCTCTATCTTCTCTTCACCTTTTCGTTTATTCCACCAGCGAACCGGCTCTTTCTCTTTTCCTCACTCTGTCTTTTTCTCCTTCTAGCAACGAGACTGTTCGGTGCTTCCCGTTCTTCTTCGTTAACCTTCTCGGAGACGGCACGGCACGGCGCGACACGACTCCGTTTTAATTCTTCCAACCGACTAACCTCCTTTCGATCATCATACCAAATCAATTGTCTATCGAAAGATCTTTTAAATAAACGTTCAAATTCGTTCCGTCTATTGGACAGATTGATCAGGACTAACAAAGAGGACTCCCTAAAGTAACTATGATTATTTACGTACGTTTCTGCATAGAATAAACGCGGTTCGGGAGAAAATAGAATGAAAGAAGAGAAAGAAAATAAGCGGGAAGATCGAGGAATAGAGGCGAAAGCGCAGCCGCCACCA